ACACACACACACACACACACACACACACACACACACACTTGTACTGGCATCAAACTGAGGACTTTGTATTGTCTTCCATTCATCCTTATAACTGCATTCATGCCCAGATATTTTCATACCTCTAAATCCAACTAAGCACATGGYGGCTGTAAAGAAGTGAGGACCAAGAAAATGTCCTCATTTCCTAAATGACCTCACTCTGTAGCAGAAACAAGTACACACAAATGCACACACATGCCCACAAACTGAGCCAAGACGTATTCTTCAAGTGGCTTTAAAAAAATAATTAGGGTCAAAAACATTTGAGCCATTTCAACTCCATGTGTTGAAATTTAAAATGATCAAATCAGTCAGACTCTTTAAAAGTGCGTCTGTGTTACAATATTTGGACAACACACCAAACCGACTGTATTATTGTCTTTTGAGCTGCTGAGAGCCTCTCTCCGTTCTGAAGGGTCCACTCCAGATCTGTTTTGTGGAGGTGGAGTGGACGAGCAGGCCACCAACAATAACACATGAGCCCAGCACCTCTGCATCCTTCCAGCYGTCCATCTGTCCCTCCGTCCGTTTCCCTCCTGCACCCACCCACCCTGCGCTTCAAACCTGGATAATAACGTCTGCCTCTGCTCCAATCACACCCCCCAGGCAGAACAGTAAAAAAAAAAAAAAAACCTGGATTCACGGCCTCATTGTTGGCCCAGCAAAAGAGCCCCTCCTCAGAAAGGTGCTGCCAATGTGAAGAAAAGCGCTTGCTCGGCTTTGCTCTCTCCTGGTGGCATTTGAACGTGTAAAGCTTTGAATACCAATTGCTTGAACTGGACATATGTGAATCCGCTGTAAGCCTACTAATCCTGTCCCCAAGTGTTTCTTTGTGTGTGGGGCAGCCTCGCACACCCAGGAGAAAGTGTTCCTAATCCGGCCAATGTGGAGAGATGTTTGAATGAGGGGGACGTTTGGGTGTGTGTGTGTGTGTCGGGTATCAGTTTGTGCAGAAGCATTCAAAGAGCTTCTTTTGCCTGTGTGTTTTGGTGTTTTCCAGTGTGTGTGTGTTCGCATGAAGCCTTTAGCTCCACACCACCAGGACACTGGCCTAAATGAAGGCAGTTGTTCGCTGTTCATTCAGACTTCTGTCGCAGCAGGTCGCCCATAATGTGCTCTCTTCACTGCAACAGCGCCTCACCTTCCTTTCATTCCTCTGTTCGTATCTCTTTATCGCTCTTCTTCTCCTTTTTTCACTCGCTTGCTCTGCTTTTTCACATTAAAACAAAAAATCACAGCCTGAACTCTCAGGTTTAAACCACCTGGGATTTTCTAAAAGCTGCCTTTTAAGGAGTCAGACTGAATTCATGTTGAGGCCGRTGGTTTTAACACTAAAACTCAACAGCTTTTCAGATATCTAATTCACAAATCAGTCTCTAAATTGTGTTGTTTTTCTCATGGAGGCCCTGCCTGTTCAAAGGCAAAACTAAAACCCTTCAACTTTCAAGCATCTCAGAGTTTTTCTGCTACGCCCGAGCTCTTCTTCAACCAGTCATTGGGCTGAAGAAACATGTCATAAAGTAAAAGCTGCAGCATCAGCATATTTAAAAATCTGATTAAAAAAAACCTCTGTGTCTGAGCCTCAGATTAGGATTTTCAGCCTGCATCATATTTCTGAAGTTCGTCTGTTTTATAAATGGATATTTATTTAATCAGCTTCGTTTTCAAGACAATTTAAACAAATTTGACACTTTAGTCAACAGAAACAAATACAATTTTATATTTTATGTAAGCCTTCAGACACAAATCTCAAAACTTTTCGTTGATACTAAACGCTGTTATTTTATATATATATATTTTATTTTGAGATGTATTAGATATAAATACATGATGAACTTGATTAGCTTAAGACACAAATCTCAAAACTTTTTGTTGATACTAAACGCTGTTATTTTATATATATATATTTTATTTTGAGATGTATTAGATATAAATACATGATGAACTTGATTAGCTTAAGACACAATGTCCCCCTTCAGTAAAAACTTATATGTTTTAAAAAAGCTTAAATTTCTATGGCAAATTTCAAAAGTTTGAAGATATAACTTTTATTTTTGTCCATGTTACCACAGTATAGCCCAGAAGCACTAAAACACTAATAAAACTGTATATTTTCTAACATGCTTAGATGGAGAACATAAGTTGGACAATGTTCAGTTTTTTGCAACCTGCATCTTCACTGGAAATACACTTTGCTCTTTTAAAAGTTTTTTTTAAACTCTGTCCTTTTTTTGTCATTTTGGAAATGTTATTGTTGCTGGAAGCTGATTAGTGATTATTTTAATCACCATTACACTTAAAATAAACCTCTTACCTGGCTGTCCATGGCACTCCACTGCTGTGAGAAACATGGAGTCTGGATTTCTGATTMATGTTTCATTTTTAGTGCTTCAGCTGCTGCAGGCTCCAAGATTCTTTCTGCCAGTTTGAGTCCCACACTTTATACACAAAATATTTATTCAAATTACTTATTTCATCAATGTTATCAAAGTTATAATCATTATTTGTAAAATGCTGAGGAAAACTAGCATGCTTGGAGTTTTTCCTAATTACATTCTTCAATATATTTCATATACTGTACCTTCAATATTATTTTGTTTACATAGTTTGTTATAATCTGTTAATTTATTGTTAGGTTTTTTTGTATTAATTTTCTGCCTCTATTGATCTGTGCTTCATAAAATCTCTATAAAGTCTGTTTTTTTAAACAGGCATTTTGCAGTCCCTTTAGAGCAGGKGTGCCCAAACATTTTCCCCAAGAGGGCCAAAATGAAAATCCATCCAGCTGCGGGCCAAATGCAGTAATATAATACATGAAATACAAATAGTTTTTAAAAGTAAAGTCCTTTTATTTTTAATGATTAAGCTATGCAATGGCCCTCTTTTGTTTTAGTCTGTGCACTTGGAGAAAGTCTGCCATACGCTCAAGTAGCAAAGGCTCATGGGACATTTTGTAAATTAATAAAATGAGTTTTTGTGGCCTTATAAAGTATGCAGATCTACATGTGAGGTTAAATCTGATCTAAATATTTCTTGTCATTTCATGCTTCATGTTTAATCCTACTAAATCAAAGATAAAGTCAGCACCATGAATGAAAACTACCTTCACTACAGCCCTTTTATATTGTCATTTGACCAATGGAAATACTGTGTTTCTACATAGGATAACAGGTTACAACCTTGTAACTTTGGCAACTGTTGGTGGGCCAAATCAAATGACTTGGTGGGCCAAATTTGGCCCGCGGGCCCCACTTTTGGCTCCTCTGCTTCAGAGCTTCTGGATATTTTAGCTTTATGAATAAACKTTTTCTTTGGTCAATTTTTGTCATATAGTGATTTTAAAATATTCCGAAAATTATCATATGCTTTGTCAATATCATTTTTCTTTAATACTACGATTATAAAACTAACTGTCAAAGAAGTAAAAACAAAAGACGTCAGTAGTTGTTTCAGAGCTTGAATTTGCCTGATCCAGTGGTTGAATTATCTCCAGCACTTCCTTCAGTTCTGCTGAAGTCGAATCAGACATTTATTTAAATCAGGTGTGTTGATTCAGTGAGTGGCACAAAGAACCAGGATTGGACACCTTTGCYTCACACTTTACTAGTGTTTGTACACTCTATTAAAAAATAACTTTAGTAGTTTTACGAGGAATTCTTAACTTAGCATCACATTCCAGACTGAATGTTTCATCTTCATTTCAACATAAATGTTGTTTTTTTTCCTCTGATACAGTTGCCCCACAGATCATTCAACTAAATATATGTGGATGTATAGCTCTTTCATTTTGCTCCTCAAAGACACCATCAAATCAGAGTTTGAAGTTTCAGAGAGGAGATTTCACAAAGGTTGAAGCATTCGAACGCCAGATGGAGGACAGCGACGCWAACACTTCCATCTCAGGCCGAAGCCGGCCGGCCGGCGTCAAAGAGAGTTCTGAGATTTCATTTCTTCTAATGAGTCCTGAACTTCTGAAAATTACAACTCTGACAAAAGTG